AAGAAAATGGCTATATTCCCAGACAAATTCAGATCAGCAGATTTGTAGTGCTAAACGTGCTCTACAATTGGGCATTAACCGTTTTTCAGTCCTCTTAATAGTTGTTGACATTTTCGACAACGAAGTTCAGCAGTAGCCATATGATAATTGCGGTCGGTCTTTTGCCATATCTCGCCTAAGATACATCAGAAAATGTTGAAACTTGCTACTATGGGCTAATTTTACATGAGATTCTGAATTTGGTGGGAAAAAAATAAAATAAATCATATACCCGATCTCTAGCAATGACTCACATATGCGTTTGTGTCACAGGGGGCAATTTTGACTAGGCACGTGAACACATGCTGTAGAAGTGATACGCAAGTCTATAAACATGTTTTTTATCGGTTTTTGAATATGCTCTTTCCAATAATGAGATTTCCGAAATCCAAAAATAAATTTTTCTGGGTTTTCTAGAGATCCGGTCTTCAGAAAACCCAGAAAAAATTATTTTTGGATTTCGGAAATCTCGTCATTGGAAAGAGCATATTCAAAAACCGATAAAAAACATGTTTATAGACTTGCGAATATATGCTTAGATACCATCTATGTCGCTTATTGGTAGAGAATAATAATTTTCAAGTTGACCCTAATCGGAGATATGTGCCACCTCCACCGTCCAAGGGTATAACTTTTCGGAAAAGCAAATATATTTCAATAGTCACGAAGGATAGTTGAATAAACGCTGAAAGTTTCATCGAGTTTGAAGAACATTTTACATATAGTGGAAGGTTTCCCATAGGATCACCCACGAACAATTAGACTGATGTATTAGAGCTGATGTCTGAATATAATTTCCAAAAGTTTTTTCAATATCGCGTTGGTCTTTTACTGAGAATATGATTTATAAAATCTATTTTGGTTAACATGTTCTATACTAATCTAAACTGCTATTTATAGAAGAAGAACACAACGTGAATTGGAAGGAAAAAGCAATTTGATTGAAAAGAGTACGTTTCTAATTTTTGTTGGAAACACTATTTCTTTAGGTTGAATAGAAAGCGTATGAAATTCTAACGAATAGTAGGAAGTTACCATACTACCCACCATCTGTGTGAATAAAACAAAGATAGACGAGTAACTTCGTATTTTAGATTTTGTGGAACAGAAAGCAGATATCAGTTTTGTGTCTGTTCGATGCAGTTTTTTCTGCACTACAAAACTATATAAAATACTGCATCTTTTTATGCTTCGATCGAGAGAAATTACATTTGAAAGCAAGCACTCGCAGGGTGGAAATTTTTTCGAGTACTAACCCTCTGAGTACTTGCTTTCAAATTAATTATTGTATTAATATAATTAGTGTGAACTCGGCCTTTACACTTGTGAGTTCAAACTCTGCATATGCTCATAACAACCTGTTCGTCTAATAATTTAAATATTAAAAAGAAAAAATTATAGCCTTTAATAATTTCGGTACTAATAATACCAATTACTTCTTTCGACCATTTTTCACTTTCCCAGTTTAAAATGTAGTATCTACATATAATGGCGTTTATAGAAAGAACACTACTTGAAACTATAAATAAAATGAATACTTGTCTGCGAGAATGTACATAAAAATCGTAGAACGAACACATGTAATGCACGAGAATCTGGTATTACAGAACGTTGTTGACATCATACAGGAAGATCACCAAGTGAAGAATCAATGAACAAGATGAAGACTGATGATAATGTAATAAACTTGTTAGCTGAGTTGCTGCTAGTACTGGCCTACAATATTCACGTCGTACTAACGAAAGCAGTGGTCATTTTGTTAGTTTTGCAACAACAAATCTTTTAACAATTTCATACAGTGATGCTTGATCAGTGAAAACATAACAATTATCAAATTTTATGTTTTGGTACACTAACTGGAATTTGTTTTAAAGTATCGATAGTTGTTTGAATTTGGAACAACACAGTCAGGATATTTTTTGTACTTATGATGAACGATGATGTGTTAATTTTAATCTACTGGTTGTTCTGTTGCCAGCGAAATTGAGAGACATATTTTTGCTGAACATAATCGGGCAGTGAATTATCATTGAGGAATTATTAGAACAACATTATACTCTTTTCAATTTTTAAAATAAAGTGCACGAGTTAGAGAAAAAAAGGTAGATTATTTAGTGTCGAGACGAGGTAAAATAGCAAGAGGGATGTGAGTTTTGTGGAGAACCCTGCAAGGTTCTAAGAAAAAGGGAAAGGGCTTTTTTTCGTTCCTTTACATTGACACTTTTCGAAGGAAAATTGAGCATACATAATACACCACTCCATGCACAACATTTAGCCACATTCAAAACAAGTGACAGAACAGATATTCTTTCTTTCATAGTTATTTCGAAGCTTCAAAGTTCAGAAATGACTTTTTAATTTGCCTGCATATGCGCAAATAAAATTTCGAAAGAATGTTCGTAATTGAGCGAACGCAGATTATCACCAAGCATGAGAGACGTACATCCGTCCACGTCTCCTATCGTCGAAGGACTGACTGTATCTTTATATTAGTTGGAAATATATAAAGTTCTTTTAGCAATCATTCATACAGAATTTTATGGAAATTTCATAGAATATGATAGGATCTAGAATTTTTTCCAGAAAATGGTAAGCCTCCAGTCTATTTTAAAAAGTGAAAGAAATCTAGAGGAGTTTTATCGGATCTTATTGTTGAAACCCTACAAAAATCCTTTAGTCATTGAAATTTCCACTAGAATTCTTTGACTACGGTCATCAAGTATAAGATAGTGACTAGATACAATTGAACATGGCTTTATTTAATAATTTTGAAGAATACAACTGTACAACGAAATCAAACCTCATTGAGTTGAGTTATTGCATTTTTTATCCAACTGAGATACGCACTTACTCTCATGTAGACTCCTGGCCATCCTTTTACAGCACATCCATTGCCATAGCTGACTATTCCTGTGACCACCCATCTATTATCCGCATCTTTCTGCATTAATCCACCACCACTGTCGCCTTGACAGGAATCTCGACTATAATCTTCCGCACCAGCACATACTTGATTTTGAATATCAAACATTGATGCATACACTTTAACACATTCGCCCATAATCGATAGTGACGCCTGTAATAGTTCGTCGCTTTGAAAAGTGTTGTTTTTCGTATCACCCCAACCACTGACAAGAACAGGTCTATTTAGATAAGGTTGTTCAATTGAATTTGGTAAACAAGCCGGAATTGCTCTTTCATTGAACTCAATTTTCCTTCGAATATGTATAATGGCTATATCGTTTCGAAACATGACATTATTATAATCGTCATGAAAATAAATATCATCAATAGTATAGGTCATCTTATCTGTTACGGTTGATAAATAATGTGTTTCAGTTGATATCGTATACTTGTAAGTAAAAAAGCTTAATGCAAAACAATGAGCTGCTGTTAGAATATTGTGAGAATCCAAAATTGTACCACAACATATATGACGACCTTCGAATTTTATTGATACTTGCCATGGAAGTGAGTTTGGTATAGCAGGATAACCACCCACAATTCTTGTCTCATTGGGTTCAAAGTGAGGTAATCCACAGGACACTGATAACTCTTGTTTCACACAAAAACGAATCTCAAAAGAAATCAAAAAGTATACATATTGGGTCTTATTTAGATTTAATCAATTAGTTTTCATACCTTGTAATCATTACATTTCTTCTTGGTTGCATGACAAATAATTCCATCGTTGAGCATGACATAATTATCATCTGTTTCGTTAGGTCGGATATTATCAATTGCTGTTCGAATCTCATATTCTGTAAAATCCTGGAAATTTAATGATGAATAGACAGCTTTAACGTATAAAAATCGTTCAATTTCATTTCCTTTATTTCGATCAGGATTATTGATATTAAACCATTGTGACCAATTATCACACGCAAATGTAGTTAAAGATAAGCAAAAAAAGACATAGGCAAATATAGGTTTCATCTGTGGATAAAAACTGATGTATCAGTAAAAGAAAACGTTTACGTAGTATTATTATTAAAAATCAAATATATTTAATCACATGTACAAAATAATCTTGTATACAGAAGATTACGTTACCTTGTGAAATAACGAAAATTATTTAAAAGATGATTAATAAGAACAAAAATTGTTTTCAAAAATAAAAGTGCCAAACAAAGTAATATAGTTCATTTTTATAAAAATAATGTTACTATTGATCGAGAATATGTTTAATCCAAGATAAATATGCACTAGTTCTTACCTAAAACAACCAATAATTCTCATTTTATTAGTTAAAAAAAATCTGAATTTATGTGACTACTTACGTAGACTCCAGGCAATTCATATAAGGCACAGCTTCTACCATAACTAATAATGCCAGAAAGAGACCAAGACTGTGTTTCATTCATTAGTTCCATTAGTGGCCCACCACTATCGCCTTGACCTAAACAAAATCACTCTTTTATATTTCAAGTTTTAAATGAACTTATGAGTCTTCCACTCCACAAAAAAATAAACGATTTTTTAAATCACAACTCCATTTGCGAAATAAACTTGCTAATATGTAATCTAAAGTGTCTATTTTTAGAATCTGTATCGCTTATTATCCGGTGTCAAATATTTTTTAAAAGAGTTTTTCAAAAATTTGAAATACTAGTGGTCGTTGAAACTTAGTGTGTGGTCTCGTTACATGTAGCATAGATACTTTATGAGATATTCAACATATATAGAGTTATTTCAGTAACTAGGCAGTGTATTCTAATAATCTTTTTATCTAAAAGTGCAGATATAAACGCACAAAATAATCACGGCGATTTTTGAAATTCGTCTTTTCGTAATGAGATAAATAATGATCTTAGAGAGCAAAAATCGCACTTTTTATCTTAAAATGACTTGTCAAATAAAAATAGAGGGAAAAATTCAAAAATTAATTTAGGTCGTTTTTTCTGATCTATATATCTAGTTTAATTTCAAACAAGCCCGATCATTGCAACTATTACCCAACCACATTTTTTTCACCCGATAGCTCTTGTATATCTCATCAGACGACGTAGAAACAAGTTTTTTCACGAAGGTCTTTACACTGATACCTACAAGAGTCTTTGGTATAATTCAAACCAGTAGCACAAAACTGTAATTTCTCATTAATCGTGTAAAACTGATGCAATCTCGTACAATTGGGTAAAACCTCTAATTCTGTTTGTAAAAGTTCGTGGTTTGGATCACCGCCAGATACAGTTGAACCCCAACCAAGACCATGTTCAAAAAAGCGAGTTAATAATAAGTAACTATAACAGTGTATGTTCTAATCTGAACGTCGTCACTGAACGACTCTTAGCTATAATAACATTTTTTCCAGTTTCTGGCTGTTCAACTTTTATTGGTAAGCATGCCGGTTGAGCTGTAAGGTCAAAGATAATTGGTAATTTCAATCGGATAATTACTATATCATTGAATCTATAGTAATCATCATATTCGGGATGAATATAGAATCTATCTACATCATATCCTTTGCCAATAATACCTACACTAAGATTGTGCCCACCTACCATAACCTAAAAACATATCTCTGTTTTTTTGAAAATAACATTTTTGCTTAGATATGTATTAACAGACTAGAATTTATACTTAGTTTTGAGCTTACTGTATATAATAGTGGACTTAGTGACAATGTGACGCAATGGGCAGCACTGAGAATGTGATATTCATCGATAATTGTACCACCACATATAAAAGAATTTTTTTTTCTTAAAGAAATTAACCAAGGAAAAGAATGCGGTTTAACGTCAGTTCCACCGATAATACGATTGATTTTCGATTTACCACAAGTCACATTCTGTCTCCTAGATTGAATTCTGCAGCAAAAACGCACCTAGAAATAAAAGATCTGCGTTGAGCTCGAGTGAAACAGAGAAAAATGTTGACTTTAAAACGGGCAATTTTTTAAAAATACTTTTTCTATGTGGTAAATATGTTATATACTGTTATCAAGCCCATAAACATTACCTGAAATTGTGTACATGTCGTCTTCATACATACTAATTTATTCGATAGTTTCAAAAATGAACCATCGATACTTAGTTTCAGCAGTTGATCACTTTCTACTGTGCGTACTTCATAATGAATTGAATGTAAACAGGGTATTTCTACTGAATTATTATCGTGAAAATGTTCCCATTCAGACCAATAATTGGTTTTCTCATCACATGCATGTACTACGAGGACGAACAGTAAACTAATTGCAAATAGAACGAACATGATATGGACAATTAATGTATTAAAATAAATTAATGAAATAAATATTTTTGAAATAATGACGTCATTTATTTTCTTTAGGATTACATATCAAAAACAAAATTTTTATCAAGAAAATTTAATCGGAATCATATAGTCAAATAAGAAATTTAATCATTCACTACGTCATAAAAATGTCGTCATTATAATAAAAACTTTTGTCTAATATATCCTCAATGGCTTTCTTAGACTAGCACTTGAAAATTTTTTGTATAAAATGATAACAGCGAGATTCTGTAAAGATTGATCGAAATGGCATACAGAAGATAAAGCTCCTGCAGCAAATGTGTCTATCAGAGCTCGAAACAGACCGACACTTTTGAGGACTGGTCTGTCTGCATCAGGCCTGTAATATTTAGATTTGCCTGGGCCTGTCGATATGTTTCTTGGGCCTTGTCTGCCTGCCATTGCTCTTGGCCTAGCCTGGCCTGGCCTGTAGAAGCCTGGTCCTTTTTCCAATAAACAAAATGTACAAATAATAGTAACATAAGATGAAAACAAAAGTGACGGATAACTAAACAATATATCTAAGTTAAAAAATTTGGTTTTTGTTCAAGTATTTTCTGAACTGATCTAACTAATAAGATATCCTCAACCGTGTGAGGATTTAGTGATGCACGACGTTCATTAATAACAAATCCAGCAGCACTAAACTGCCGTTCAACACCGGCAGATGTTGCTGGAATTGAGAAAAGTCGCTTTGCTAATAACGATAAATTTGAGAATTTCTATTGATTTTCTTTCCAAAATGCCAAGGGATCTACAGCCGAAATGTTAAATTTTGAATAAAAATACGCAAATTTCATAAGCCAGACCGCCTGACTTTTTCAAACGTCTGTCTGAACCTGTTTCAGTCTAGACCTGGTCTGCCTGAGCCTGGTACAGGCCGACAATTTGTGGCCTGGCCTGGCCTGGTTAGAGCACTGGTGTCTATCAGTCTCGTGGGTCAGTTTCTTCAATTTGTACGAATTCTCAATGCCAAAATGCAACAATCTGCCCCACTGCCGTGATTAATTCTTTACCGAAACTATCAGTCTTTGTTTTCTTTAAATTTTTGTTCAGTTATGTGTTTATGAAAAGTAAAAATCTTGTTGGACTGACTGATCTATTCTTCTACCGATAGACAAGCCCCATAAAGAGAAAAGAAGTGATTAAATGAAACTCTAATTGACGAAAAAGATTTTTGAAAAATGACTCGAAATCCATCCCAAGTGATGACTCGAACCATTATGTTTATACAGCAATCCGTACGATATATGGTTTTCTATAGATTGAAATTCTAAACAGGAGACTGCATTACACCTTTTCTCTTTTTTTGTACAGGTGGATATGCATTACCGAAAATTGTGAATATCGATTTTTGCTGAAAAATTTCCAAGTGTCAAATTTTTAGATGTTTACCTTTCAAAGGTTCTATCACATACACGAAGCGTCACACGATATTCAAAACAGGGCATTCTTACACTCGGTTACATATCTAGCACAGTGGGCATTTAGGCGGCATTTTCTGAGAAAATCGTAGGTACGAAATTTTCTGTTTTGAATAGCGGTATATATAGTGTAAACAATGCCCTATTTAACAGTGAAAAATTTTTTGTTCTAGCTG